ACTGTCTTGTTAATAACATGCGCTTCCACAATTCGACAGCACACAATTAGCATTCGACTGCTTTGAGCTCCACCCCTAGGCCGACCCCTTAACACTGCACAGCAGCATATCCATTGTTGGCTTAGACAAGCTGCGACAATGCTTACTTTGTGTCGGAGAGTGCTCAATGATATCCATTTGGCATGGAATGCACAACAGGTATTGTGTCAGCTGTATAGCAGCTTCAATTACCAGACAGTGTGGCCAAGAGCTGAGTGTCGCACATCAATGAGACATACTGAAGAGACTGGAGGGTTTATTAAAGCTAATTGCTGATTGCTTTGTAAATAAACTAAATCTAAGCTTCTTATGCAGAGTTCTAGACAATAAATCTCCGAATTTTATAGCCAAACGTTTCTGAAGCCAATCAATTATGACCCGTTTCTTTAAGTACATAATCAATGGTTCAATATTTAAAAATTAAAAACAAAGATTAGATGCATATTCTTCCTTTTTATATTCATGCTCATGCTTATATGTATATATGTATTCAAATTAAAATTTGAAGACCAAGATATTGCCTTTAATTTGATATTTTGCTGCAAATATGTTTTCGTTTTTGACAATTATGAGCATTCATTTATTTCTTTTTTATAGCTTATATAATTTAGCCAAACATGATGAAAAATACATCAGATTTATTAACATTGTGTCCATCTAAGGCTCTCAAAATGCAATAAACAAACGTCAGAGGATATTTAACCGGAGGCGCTTATTGTTCCAGATTTGTCAGGGCAAACGTTCAACAAAAAAGATTTTCAATGTAATTGCCAAAAGGGGGCTTGAAATAACAACAGAAAAAAAATAATTTGGTATAAATCCACTTTGTGAAACTAGTTTTCAGTGCCAAGAGACGAACTGCGACCTTGAATAAATCAGGCAACAAACGAGGCGGGACAAAGGGGAGAAATATGCCCAGTTACCATTCAAATTGTTAGGGGCGGGCAATAAAACGGATGTCAATAAATGCGATTGACAATGACAAACATGAAATCGAATGCAGTAAGGTTAACAAAATGATGAAAAAATGCCAATTCCGGACACAATACAAACAAGTAAGAGGTTCTAATCGGGAGCACCCGACTAGGGGATACCCTGAACCCTCTTATTCCAACACCATATAAATTAATAAGAAATGTTCCCTTGGCAGGGATCGAACTTGCGACAGACCGCACCACTTGCTATGCCTCTACTCAACAGCCACACCAACAATTAATTACTTATGAAAAAAAAGGAACTCAAATAAAATTACAAAAAAAGAATAAAAAGAAAAAAAAAAGCAATTACCATGCTATTAGATTGTGAAGTAGACGCGCATGAATGTGTGTGTGTACATGTATACAGAAATTCTTAAAGCTGCTGCCCCATTCAATTGCGCAGTTGAATATAACTTTGGTTTTTCTTAACCGATCTTTATGAAATTTTCTACAGTATATCTTATTGTACTATAGAATATTTGTGTATTCTGAAAAAGTCAATTGCATTTAAATTGTGGCTTAAATTGGTTGGCAATAAAAGTTCGGTTATTAACTTGATTTATAGTTCTAGGGTGGTAGCGGGGAGGTGGCGATATGTATGAAATTAAAGATACTTGAAATATCTATAATATTCTAGAAGCAACATATCATATTTGGCGGCTCTAACTCTTATTATTTACCAAAATTGCTAAAACAAAACAGGATGTCGATATCGATTTTTATCGATTGCTTGGAAACGAAGTAAGTTATCAATTATCGGAAACAAACTCGATCTGCCCGGGAGTTAGGAGCATCTACATCTAAAATTTCAAGTCTCTAGCTCTTATAGGTTCTTAGATCCTTGCGTTCAAACATACGGACGGACGGACGGACGGACAGACAGACGGACATGGCTAGATCGACTCGGCTTTTGATGCTGATCAAGAATATATATTCTTTATGGGGTTGGAGATGTTTCCTTCTGCCTGTTACATTAATTTGGATTTTGCACAAATACAATATACCCTTATACCCATTTTTAATGGGTTCAGGGTATAAAAATAAAGCTGAAAAATGAAATCGTGCTGAGGTCAAATGCCAAACAAAGTGGGCGAAAAAAAAATCAAAACCCCAACGATAACCAAAAGACCTTAAAACAAAATGAACCCAACAGAGTGACAGCTGAGCTGAGCGTCTAGGTTTACAGATGGCAGAACATTTACGGCCACTGTGGCCGTGTGTCATCTGGTGACCAATGATTCCAAAGAGCAGGAGGAAAAACAAGTAAGAGTGCTCCACTCTAGTGTGCACGACTAGCACATGCTACATAAGCAGAGCATAAAAGAAATAATTGAAACAGAAGAAGCGAAAATAATTCCTTAGATCTGACGTCTCATCCTTTCAATACCGAGTGTTGTTATCGATATTTAATCGATTACCGATAGTTATCGATATTTTTGGAACATGCATGATCTACAACAGCCATATCTTATGGGGTTAGATAAGTCTTCCTGTGCAAGCACGAGAGCTCCACTCAAGTGCGCACGACTAGCAGATGCTCCTGAAAAAGGACATGTAAAACGAAAGAATCGAAAAATCTGACGTGTCCGTTACCTCGAGCTATTGCTTATTGGGTTAGAGTAACCTTGATGGGTTTGCTTCATTAAATTCTTTAAAACAAGTATACCCTTTTGGCCCACTTTCTAGGGTGTAAAAAATGGAGAAAACCAAATGACAACTGAAATGACCAAACGTCAAGTGCACACATATACCTCCACACCAACTCTCCGGCAAAGGAAACAGCTTGCTCGTTCTCCGGATTTAAATGTGAATTAAAGAATTCCCCAAAGGTCCACAGCTGCATGGCACATGAAAGATGGCTTATTTGCTACTAGTTGGCCTCTTATGGGGAGTCAAGGGTTCGGTGCGGCATCAAATGTGCAAACATTGGTTTAGAGAGCGCCACTCGCCACTCGCCACTTGCTGCATTTGCCATTTGCATAAATCAAATTTGAATATGCATCGCTGGCTGACACAGGCAGCGCCAGTTCCGAATGTAGGGGGTGGATGCGGGACTACAAGCTCAAAACAGCTGCACAAACACGTACATGCAGCAAAAGTACATGTGTGTGCGCGCGGATGAGTGTGTTGTGCGTGTGTGCGGGTGTTGTGCTGCACCTGTCCTCTAACACGCACGATATGAAAAGCACGCACCAAACTTACGGACACTCGCGCGCTCACACACAAGCAAACGCTAAAGTGTGTGCGAATACAAAGCAGCAAACTGTACAATTCAGACACCCGACAAAACGTAACTAAACGTTATCTAGCTTTAAAAATATTTTTCGATTTTTATATAACGTTTCACGACATATTGAATAGATTAATTTAATTTTATTCCGACACCAAATGCAGTTCGCGCAACGCCGCTTGTTTGAAGTCATAAAGATAAATTAAACAAATAAAGTTCGAGCTCGCAACTGACCGTATTACTTGCTGACGACACTACTCAACAGACAAACCAGCAAAACAAAAAAAAATAGCTTCCCAGGTAGGGCTAGAACTCTCGACAGACCTCAACCCTTGCTATACTTCTACTCAACAGCTACACCAAAATTAAATATTATTGAGAAAAAAACGAACTTAAATAGCATTACAGAAACAAGTCGTAATTACAATGATGTAAGAAGGCGATAGAATGCGAAGCAGACGCGCATGAATGTGTGTGTGTACATGTATACACAAATTCTTGATGTTTTCGCTATCTGTGCCATCCAACTGAGCAGCTACATATTACTTTGGTTTTCTCTTAACCGATCTAAATGAAATTTTCACATATAATACTTGTGTATTCTAAAAAAGTCAATTGCATTTAAATTGTGGCTTAGATTGGTTGGCAATAAAAGTTGGGTTATTAGCTTGACTAAAGCACTGTGGTATAAGCGGGGAGGTGCCAATAGTTATAAAATGAAAGATACTTGATATATATATATACAATACTCTAGAAGCAACATATCAAGTTTGGTGACTCTAGCTCTTAAATTTACAAAAATTGCTAAAAAAAAACAGGATGTCGATATAGATATTTATCGATTGCTTGGAAACGGAGTAAGTTATCGATTATCGGAAACAAACTCGATCTGCGCAGGTACTAGGAGGACCTACATCTAAAATTTCTCTAGCTCTTATAGATTTAGAGTTCCTTGCGTTCATACATACGGACGGACGGACGGACAAACTGAGAGCCGGACGGACGGAAAGACGGGCATGGCTAGTTCGACTCGGCTATTGATGCTGATCAAGAATATATATACTTTATGGGGTCGGAGATGCTTCCTTCTGTTACATACATTTGCATTTCGCACAAATACAATGTACCCTTTTACCCATTTTTAATGGGTTCACGTATAAATGGGTATAAAAAATATTGAATATTACAATATTATTACTAACCGGTTAACACATTTTGTCAAATTGCGTTTTTTATTTCCCATATATGTGTTGACATTTTTGTTGGGTGATTTCCTCGGCGTATTCTTTGCACTGACTGGCACGTTATGATTAAACTTTCTTTGCTAATTTACGATGCACACAAAAAAAAAACGTATTATAATTACATTAAACCATGCGAGTGCGAGACGTGCGACAAGTATGCGGCAACATTTTGATGCAACCGATATTTGTGAATTATACAAATTTAACATAACATTAATTTAAGTTAATATTGTTAAAAACACATTTGTCGTGTCTCTTACGCGTTAGTTCAATTTATGTTACACGCCAGTCTGTGCCCGGCCTCTAGCCTGCCTTTTTCAGAGAGAGAGAGAGAAAGAGAGAGAGAAAGAAGCTTTTGTGTACATTTGTGATGCATAGAGTAATGTAATGTTTGAAGGGAAGATTTAGTAAGTATGTGCAATTGGGGGATTTACAATACAAAAGGAAATAATACCAACAAATAAAAATTAAAAGCAAAATATATAACATTCACAACAAAACTAAGGTATAACAATTTAATAAAACAGAAATAAAACAAATAAAGCACAATATACGCAATAATTTGTACATGTTGTAGACACTTGAAGAAAAATATCCATGTTATAAGGTTCGAGCAGCTACATAAAAAGGTTACTTGAGTTTAAGGCACATTGAAAATTTGCTTTCACTACAGTAAATATGGAAACAACTCGTGACACTTCATTAGACTACTTCTTGCTTGCAGCTAGTAAATTAATTAAATTTTTAATTTTTTACTTAGCAGCTCCTGATATTCACTTATGGGCGCGCCGGTATGTTTGAGTTGCCTCTGTACCGGGAACATCTTCAAAAACAAATTAATACAAAATTAAAGAAAGTTAAGATCTTTTCTGTGAATTCAGAGCTCACTATTTCGACTGGGACTGATATGCTGTGATTGCGCTTCAGGCGGCTGTGGGGTTGTATTTGGAGCATCTTTAAACAATATAGAATAATTTAGAGCATATACAGTTGAGGAAGTAATAAATAGGAATACGCATTATACCTTTATTACCTGGTACAGAAGCGGGTGTCTCTGGTTTCGCTTCAGACTGATTTTCGCCCGTTGCTGTACTGGCTACAAATTCTAAAAACAGAGAGGAATTTCAGTAAGGATTCATAAGTCGGGCTGCAACAAAATCGAAACACACTATCATTACTTGGTTCGGGTTTGGATTCGGAAAGCACTAATCCTGTTGCAGACGAATCCTTACCATCTGTCGAATTCAGATCTTCTAAAATGTAGGAATAATAAGGCATAAATAGGCAGGACAATAACTAATATTAAGAACATACGGTAATTTGAATTGGAATCGGTTAAATTAGTTTGCGATTCAGACAGATTTTGTTTCTGCTGACCCGGATTTGGTTTCTCTTCTGTGGCATCTGGAAGACCAGTGTGCATACTCATAAAGTCTTTGTAAATGGTTTCATTTACTTTATCCAGGCCCATATAGGATTCACCGTCCGACGTCACGGGCTCGCCGGGATTTTTAACGAATGGCTCAAACATGGCAGTGAAAAGTGATTTTAAAGAATCTCTTTGCAAGTCATCGTCATCTGGGTTTCCAGGTATCTTACGCTGACCACCGCCGGTTTCTGTAAACGCTGACAACATCTCGATTGGCATGGGATAGTATATTTTAAGGTGACGTTCATGCGAAATCGATGTTAAGATCTGCAAGTGCCGCAACTGAAAATGCAATATATATTTCACTTATACTCATGCCCTATTCTCATCGTATTTACCTGTAAGGTTATTTTATTTTCAGCCATCACATCAGATGCCTCCTTCAAAGCCCTTGAGGCCAAGAGCTCTCCCTCCGCAGATATGATTTTGGCACGAGCTTCCCTCATTGCCTCCGCTTCGCTAGCCAACGACCTCTGAAGACTTTCTGGAAGGTGTATGTCCTTACTGAAAATAAGTATAAGATGCCTGCTTAAAGCCAATTAGATGCGAATCTTACATTGCGACTCTTTCGATCCTCACACCCCACTTCTCTGTTGTGCGGTCTACAGCTAGCCCAATTTCTTCTGACAGAGCTTCCCTGGATATCAGAAGGTCATGAAGTGTTTTGGAACCCACAGCGTTACGCAGCGTTGTCTGAGCTATAAAAAGAGTTGATTCGTGCAAATTCGAAATTTGGATTGTCGCATGCAATGAGCCTGTGATGTAATAGAACAGGACTGCATCGACGCTGATCGTCACAGAGTCTTTAGTGATCATCTCCTGGGTTGGAATCACCTCCACTCTAGTGCGCAGATCCACTAGAGAGTAGGAGTCGATGCACGGCAAATACCAGACCAGACCCGGCCCACGTGCGCCTCGTCTAAACGAAAAGAAATGTTCGTGTAAAAGAATAAATGTAATCTCTCCATCAAGTATTACCTAACACGCCCCAGGCGAAAGAATATCGCCCGATGAAATTCCGCGATCGTAATGAAACAGAAGAGTATGGAGATGGGAAAGGTGATCAATACAAAGAACCATGAAACAGCTATTGCTACTACTTCAGACGTCGTGTTTTTCTGGCTCTCACCTACAAGAGAATCGAAGACAAAACGGACCTTAGTATAAGAGCCAATAGACTCGAAGCTATGTTACAATTACTTGTTTTAATATATGACCTTCCTTCTCTGCGGCTGTTTAGTTTCTTGGATTCATTATTATTGGGTGATCTTTCTCCGTTGCCATTTTTAACATTTTCAGCACTTTTCCTCTCTGCATTTGTCTGGTCACGTGAATTCGGTTGAATATCCATAACGACAAATTTTGTAGTTTATGTGAATTTGGAAGCACATATTTACTAGACTATTAAATGCTTAACAATTCTTAGAGATCTTGATTCAAAAAAAACAAAACTTGTACAAAATATTTTAATGTTTCACCACACAAACCAATATTTTCAACTGTAAATTTTTTTTTTAATTGTATTCAGCTTCATTTATATTAAATACTAATAAAAAGGTATTCGTGTTTCCATCCTCGTTTAATACCTACTATAGCATATGCGTCCAATTCCTAACATTGGTATTCAAGCTGAGGTTGACTCTGTTCTTCATTGATATTATTTTCAGTAGCTCTAGAAGTTGTTCTGTACTCAGCCTCAGAACCCTTTACCGTTGTAATACCACACAATTCTAATAAGGGTTCGAAACCAGCCTCACCACCCTTTTTACGGCCCTCAAATGGTGACAATATCTCCATAGGGAAAGGATATATTATCTTAACAAAGCGCTCATGAGCAATCGATGTAAGGATCTGCAAATGTCGCAACTATATAATTCAGAGCGACATGAAAGTGAAAGTAAAAGTGAAATTAAATGAATATTTATAGATTTTAGGATAATACGTGCCTGTAAGGTAATTTTATTTTGAGCCATCACATCAGATGCCTCCTTCAAAGCCCTTGAGGCCAAGAGCTCTCCCTCCGCAGATATGATTTTGGCACGAGCTTCCCTCATTGCCTCCGCTTCGCTAGCCATAGTTCGCTGAAGACTTTCTGGTAAGTTTATATCCTTACTGAAAAAGTACCATATATAAAGAAATCCACTTCAAGCCAAGAAATTTTGAATCTTACATTGCGACTCTTTCGATCCTCACACCCCACTTCTCGGTTGCGCGGTCTACAGCTAGCCCAATTTCCTCAGACAGAGCTTCCCTGGATATCAGAAGGTCATGAAGGGTTTTGGAACCCACAGCGTTACGCAGCGTTGTCTGAGCTATAAAAAGAGTTGATTCGTGCAAATTCGAAATTTGGATTGTCGCGTGCAATGAGCCTGTGATGTAATAGAACAGGACTGCATCGACGCTGATCGTCACAGAGTCTTTAGTTATCATCTCCTGGGTTGGAATCACCTCCACTCTAGTGCGCAGATCCACTAGAGAGTAGGAGTCGATGCACGGCAAATACCAGATCAGACCCGGCCCACGAGCGCCTCGTCTAAATGAAAGGAAATGGTCTTGCGAAAGAATAAATCAATCTGTCCATCAGGTATTACCTGACACGTCCTAGACGGAAGAATATCGCCCGATGAAATTCCGCGATCGTAGCGAAACAAAAGAACAAGGAGATGGGAAAGGTGACCAATACAAGAAGCCACGAAACAGCTATTGCTACTATTTCAGACGTCGTATTTTTATGGCTCTCACCTACAAGGCAATCGAAGACGAACATTCCTTAGTATGGGATCATATAGGTTCCAGCTATGAAACAATTACTTGTTTGAATATGTTTCCTTCCCTCTCTGCGTTTAGGTACTTCCACGCCATCATCATCTTCATTGGCTAATCTCTGTTTATCTGTCATTTCCTGGTAGCGTGAGTTACGGTGTGCTCTAACGGAAAATTTTGCAGCTGACTATTAAAGATTGAAAAAAAGTCGTGTATGCTTAACAAATCTTAGAGTTATTGATTAGAAAAATGATACAACAAATACTATTTTTTTTTTGCTATGCTACAAGATAACCGGACAACATATAGAAATTATGTAAGATTACTGTCAAATTTGAACCGGCGACTTGCCGCTTGTTTAGGCTGTGCATTAAAAACCAGTCAGTTAGGGCAAACTCTTTTATTATTTTTAATCTCATTGAGCTTATTTTGCAAGATTAAAGTAGTTTGCCGTTTGTGCTTGAAACGCAGCTTACGCCTACAAGTTTGCACAACATTTGGAGAAAAGTAACTGCAAACTTTTAGATTTATATGCAATTGCATTTTGGACAATTTCACAGAATGCCAAACTTTAGGAAAACAAAGAAGAATGCCCGACTGCAGTGGACTCGACTATGAGTTGCCCTTTAGGATGCTTTGTATATGCAAGCCTGCAGATTGTAGCCGAACGCAGCTGTGCATACTACCCATTTGTAGGCCCCGGCATCGGCATAGGGTACAAGAACATTATAAAGAAAATACGCAATGGTCAAAAATGTCCAGGAGAGAGGTGGAGGTCAGAAAAAAATAAGGATGTCACTGAAAGTTGCTTAAAGTTGGCAGTCGAAAAACTGAAAACTTTTGTTTTCTCGCCTCCTTTTTTCGCTTTTCATTTTTTGAAGCGACACGCAAATGGCAACTCACAAAAGACAATGGAGAGTCCTGCACGGGGGCGGGGGGGGGGGGGGGGGGGGGGGGGGGGGGGCGGAGTGGGTTCTGCATGGGGATGTAATAACTTGGGAATGACTTCTGTTGCTTCCTCATAATGCATTGTACGGCAGTGGCAGCTTCTAACTTTTTCACTCAGTGACCACATGTGTGATTCCAAAAGTTTCTTCTTTACTTCATTTTTCTTTTTTTTTTGCTCACCCGCTGCCAGATTCATGCGATGCCATCATAAAGTAATTTATGTGATTTTCCCTTCCTCAGTGCAAATGCAGCGACATATGGTCAGCAGGCAAGCATGCAGGCAGGCAGATAGACAGCCAATTGGCTCGTCGAGTCACATAGAAAATGACTCTATTATGTTTTGGAGTCGAATGGGCAACATTCTGTGATGGGGCACAAAGTTATTAGTCCACAGGGAACGCCCGACCGCAGCATATGAACAAATTTCATGAACTGACTAAATGAATGTCATCAGACTAAACTAATCCGTCATTGTCAGCATTTGTAATGGAATATGGCTACATCGAAGCGCACAACAACATATATTACCGCATTGACTAAGCTAGGGGCATAAGAACCCCAACGAATGCATGAAGAAGCAGCAAAAGGACAAAGGGGACTTCAAAAAGGGCAACAGGAAAAGTGTTATAATTATTTAGCTATTTAGAGTAAATTGATAAAATCTAATTGAAGAAAATAAACGACAATTAACGACAAACATATGTAACAATGCCAATACACACAAAACCTCATAACCACATAATTTACCCATAATCGATAAGATAGATCGTAAATAAAAATAGAAATTTAAAAAAAAAATGTAGTTTCTTATAGTAAATTGATAAAATCTAATTGATAATAATTAAAATAGATATTCAAGGAGGTGACCACCTGAAACGAGTATCAATAGCCTGGCGTCGCCCGGTTCGGATGAATAATGCAAGACATGCAACTTAAGACATATTTCGTTCAACTTCGTGCTCAGTATGACAACTTTTATTATTTACCATTGCAAATAATAAACAAGTAAGAGGTTCTAGTCGGGAGCTCCCGACTAGGGGATACCCTGAAACCTCTTATTCCAACACCAAATAAATTAATAAAAAAAAGTTCCCTTGGCAGGGCTCGAATTTGCAACTGACCGCATTACTTACTGTCGACTCAACTTAACAGCCACACCAGCAAAAAAAAAAAATAATAATACTTTACCCGGTAGGGCTCGAACTCGCGACAGACCGCACCACTTGCTATGCCTCTACTCAGCAGCCACACCAACAATTAAGTACTTATAATAAAAAAGGAACTAAAATAACATTACATAAAAACGATGCAATTATCATGCTATTAGAATGCGAAGCAGACGCGCATGAATGAGCATTCAATTGAGCAGTTATATATAACTTTGGTTTTTCTTAACCGATCTTTATGAAATTTTCTATAGTATATCTTATTATTATTTATACCCTGCACCCATTAAAAATGGGTATAAGGGTATATTGTATTTGTGCGAAAGCCAAATGTATGTAACAGGCAGAAGGAAGCATCTCCCACCCCATAAAGTATATATATTCTTGATCAGCACCAGTAGCCGAGTCGATCTAGCCACGTCCGTCTGTCTGTCTGTCCGTCTGTCCGTATGTATGAACGCAAGGATCTCAGAACCTGTAAGAGCTAGAGACTTGAAATATTAGATGTAGATGCTCCTAGTTCCCGCGCAGATCGAGTTTGTTTCTGGTAACCGATAACTTACTCTGTTTCCAAGCAATCGATAAAAATTGATATCGATATCCTGTTTATTGGGCAATTTTGGTAAATAATAAGAGCTAGTCACCAAACTTGATATACAGCTTCTAAAATAGAATATATATATTCATTTGATGTTGGAAGAAGAGGGTTCAGGGTATCCCCTAGTCGGGAGCTCCCGACTAGAAGCTCTTACTTGTTTTTTGTAAAACAACCGAGTAACCTAATGAAATATTTAGATTTGATACGTTTATTTGTTTAGTATTAACATACAGATTACAAATTACAGACAGATACAAGCTAAAGGATCCTTTAAAGTTTTATGATTTTTAATTTTCAAAATGCCGAATACCAACAAGGAAGCCGATCATGCGACACAGCGCGAAGCCATACAAATGGCTCAGCTAGGTGGGTACAAAAGAAATCAAATACTATATTGGATAGATCGATAGCTAACACAGATCAACCTAGATTTCTCCTCGCTGCGCAGCACGATCATAGAAAATGTGCTGCGAGCCATGAATGATGCCTACGAGCGCGTTAAGATCTCATTGATATTGCCAAAACTTATAGAGGACCGTCGACTGTTGGCTAAGGCTGTGACCGGCACACAATTTGAGGGGGCCATACCGCTGATAAATGCCTTTGTGCGCAGGCGTGATATTATATTGAAGGAACACCGATCGCCACTAATGGATCATGGCATGATTAAGATCATTGACTACTTTCAACGTCACCAAACGATTTATACCTTGTTTCCCGGATTAATGAACTCGATGTCCGATAATGAGCGTAAACTTCTCTTCGCCTTCCAGAAGCTGATCGACATGGCCACGGCTCATTTAAAACGCGATGCGAAGACGCAGATACAGCAGGAACGTTATTTGCAGGGTGTATACACAGAAAAGGAGAAACTCAAGGAGAACATAAAACAAATTGAGGAGAAAATCGCCGCACACAGGATCGAGCAGCGTTGGAAGGCAGTCGCCAAGGCGTCACATATGGCCAAAATCGCTGAAGAGTTGAGAGTGAAAAAAGAACTGCACGAAGAGAAAATCGAACGGGAAACGTAAGTCAGACGGGCTAAAAAATAAATATATATATAATATTTTTAGTATATTACTCAACATTTTCTCCAGAGAGCTTTATCGGCGCGCTGTGCTAGCTAATGTCAAGAACAGCCTGGACAAACAATTTGAACTGGCTGAAGAGTTGGAAAAAGTCAGGTTCGAAAGTGAAAAATTGGACAGAGATCACAAAAAAATGGAAAAGGAGGGCCGTGATGAAAAGTATGTACGAATTAATAATCAAATTTTAAATATATAATTTTATATATTAACAAACAAAATTTCTACACAGAAATAAATTGCAAATACAGCTGCAGGGCATTATACGAAAATATGATACGGTGATCGGTGAGAAATTGGTCGAGAATCTGGAGCTGACGGATCTAATGAATGAGGCCAAGCAAAAGCTCAATGAATATATGGTAACCTATCGCAAAGAACAGGCCATTTACAAAGAAATTGTGGTTAAGCGCGAAAAAGAAGAAGAACGCAAAAAGCAACAGGCCATTCTACATTATATGATGCATCGAGCCGCTTGCAAAATTCAAAGATATTGGCGCGCATGGCGTAAGCATCTGCAAAAGAAAAAAAAACGTGGCACACGTAAATAATGGCCCGTCTTTCATGAATGGCAACTTTGTCAGCAAAATCTAACAAAAATTATATGCCTAGCAAAATAAAAAATAAATTAATCAAAGCAAGCCAATAATATATAGTCGTATATTTTAATGGAAATTGAGTTTTAAGCTACGTAGTAGATTTTCCACAGAGTTTATAAAATTGCCTCTAATGTTCTTAAATTAGGGATTAAGAAAAACACGATAAGATTAGTCATTAAATACTAATAAGAATTCGCATTCCTTCAACTAAACCTTTCCAGAAATATTAGTAGCTTCCCAGTTCAAGAAACTGAACTTTTTTACTTAACCACATAGTTCCTAAGTATTCCTTTCCAAATAAATAATGTTCCTAGCAATCACAGGCTATGCCTTAATACAGATCTGTTTTTATTACACAGACAGACACACATACTTTTTATAGCACAGAATAGTTATTATATTTTTTCAAAAAATGAATTTGTTAAGGGCATCATCGTCGGGAAAAGTGGACCATGTGCTGCCAAGCAAATGGCATGAGAAGCATCCAAGCATGGCAAGAGATGTCGGTGCTGGTGGGTAACACAATCTCTCTAGACAAGCATAGAATATTGATTTCTAACTTAAATCTGAACTGATTGACAGATTTATCTACAGCGCGCTCTACGCAAATACGCTGTGTCATACGTGTGCTGCAGGACTCGGTAGATTGTGTGAAGAGTGCGCTCCTATTGCCAAAACTGCTCAGGAGGCCGAGCAGTGTGGCAAAGATCTTGCACGGCACCGAATACCAGCCAGCCATACGGCTGGTGGAGGACTACATACGCCGGCGTGACATTATTGTGAAGGAGCAACGACATCCGTTGATGGATCATGGCATGATCAAGCTGATTGACTACTTTCAGTGCCATCCGGATATATGCACACTGTTTCCCGACTATCACATGACACCGGAGGATCGCAGGCTGCTGATCGCCTTTGAGCAGCTGTTCGGCATCTCTAAGCACCACTTGCAACGTAGCGCAAAGAAGGAGATCAGCAATGAGCATGCGTTGCACAAGATATACCAAGAAAATGAGCACATCAAAGATACCATAAAGCACCTAAGGGCCTATTTTGAAAGCCAAAAATTGAAGCTGCGCTGGAAAATGGCTGCAAAAGGCGCCTATCTTCAAAAATGCGAACTGAAGCTGGAAGAGAGGAAAATGAAAAATGTGTTGCGCATGCAAAACGAAAGGTACGAGTGCATGTGTGCTTGATATATCTCAGTTTAAATAAGCGCTAATTTTTCGCAGTGAAGCTTGCCAGCGCCAAATCCATGAGAATCAGAAGAACAGCTTGGAAAAACAAAAACTGCTGGAGATAGAGCTGGAAAAACTGCGTGTGGAATACGAGAATCAAACCAAGAGTAATATGCTGCTGGAGAAATCGGCACGTGAAGAAAGGTAAGTGGAAAATGACGATATCAGTAAAACTCTTAACAAATATATCCCCAATTAACAGAAACAAGCTGCAAATCCAGTTAGAGGCCGCAATAAAAAAATACGATCGCGTAATCGGCGAAAAAATGATTGAGCATTTGGATTTGGAGAATGAATTGGTAGAGAAAAAAAAGTTGTTCGATGCATTTATCCTGACCTACAAAGAAGAAGAAAAAGTTTACAATAATATTGTTATAAAACGCGAACAAGAAGATGAACGCAAAAGGCAGCAAGCAATCATGTTGTACAGGATGAATCGAGCCGCACGCAAAATTCAAATCTATTGGCGCGCATGGCGCAAATCGATTCTTAAAAGAAGGCATTATCAAGCCGCTCGATATAGTAAGTTATTGAGGACACAAAGGAAAAAGAAGTAGCTGTAAAGGACAATGGAAGTTATATGCTAAAATTATCTATTAAATATATGCATTGAGATTGAACAAACAATAAGCTTAGGAACGTTATTTCAACTTGATTCAAATAATAGTCCTAAGCTCATTGTTAGTCAAACCAAAGACAGATATAAATAAATACATTAACCATTTATGACGCTTGAAATTCGCAATTAATTAAATTACTTTAATTTAAACAAGTAAGTGGTTCTAGTCGGGAGCCCCCGAACCCTGAACCCTCTTCCAACATCAAATGCATATATGTATAAGTATATTCTATTTTATAAGCTATATGTCAAGTTTGGTGACTGTAGCTCTTATTATTTATCAAAATTGCCCAAATCCTGTTTATCCCTGTGTTATCCTTATCGATATCGATTTGTACCGATTGATTTTAAACGGAGTAAGTTATCGATTATCGGAAACAAACTCGATCTGCGCAGGCACTAGGAGCACCTATATCTAAAATTTCAAGTCTCTAGCTCTTACAGGTTCTGAGATCCTTGCGTTCATACATACGGACAGACGGACAGACAGACAGACGGACGTGGCTAGATCGACTCGGCTACTGGTGCTGATCAAATATATATATTCTTTATGGGGTCGGAGATGCTTCCTTCTGCCTGTTACATACATTTGGCTATTGCACAAATACAATATACCCTTATTTCCATTTTTAATGGGTTCAGGGTTCATAAAAAAATCGCTATAAAATGGAAATTTTCCTAAAAAACATTATTGATTTCAAGCAAATATGAGAAGATTTCTAAGCAAATACGAGACGTACATAATCTTATTATCTAATTATGATTATCGAAAATATAATAAAATTCTTGCGATAGTTTTGCTTGAGAGGGGGAAGGGAAGGAGGGTTTTTATTATGCAATCTATTTATAAACATTGGCCGACATTTTTGTCTAAGGGCGCATCTGCATAAACTATGCATTTATCTATATAAACAAAATTAAATACGAAAATTTAATTAATACAGCGCCGTACAAATAAGATGGAGATGTGGCTCGAATAGCGCTAGAAAAATTCATTGAAATTACTAAGCGTGAAATGAGCAGCTGTCACTGGAGCACAAATGACATTGAGCAGACAGGCCAGGACACGCAAGCACACACACACACGCATAAACGAGACAGACACGCAGACAGAAGCTTGACAGCTTGAGATAGAAGCGAATGGCAATTTGAAATTTCATTAAATTTCCCTATTCTTTTTTGTGCAGCGTGAAAATGTCGCGCCCTGGAAATACAAACAGCTGTGTATTGACACCGGCAATATATCTATAAAAATTCAACAGACAAAATAGAGAGAGAAAGAGAGAAGTCAAGTCAATACGTTTGCGGTGCTTGCGGCCTGTGAAAGTTTCTATTTTTTTTTTTTTGTGTATTTATTTATTATTTATTAATGGTCGACAAACCGAGTGTCTTTCTCATTATTCAATAGGTTATACAATAGATAATAGAATTATATGCTAAAAGCCTAGTTAAAGAATACAATTTTCTAAATAGCATCACCGACCGATGGAGGTGTTTTATTTGCCAGTCCGGCCAGCTGTGCCCCTTTTCACAGCTAATTTTGTCAGAGCCTACATCTAAGCGGAAGGTTGTAAGTAGGAAAAAAGTGTTCCCAAGTAAAATTAAAACAATCTTAATTTGATATATTAATAAAGAAAATACAATAAATAGGAAAAAAAGAAAGTAAGAAGATTGTTAATAAAGTAAAGCAATGTTAGTTAGATAAAGAGTGATAGGACAAAGAGAAAAGTAATGGGAAATCACCGACCCGGTGGGGGAAAATTTTTCAGCCTGTCCGGCAAGCTATGCCCCTGCTCATAGCTGGGAATGGTCAGCGACTTCCCGAAGGTATCCTGAAAGCAACGATTTTATTAGGTTTAGAGACAGTTCGGTAGAGAAAACGTGATGCAAACTATTATAATTTTTACATAGCACGCGAAAAGTATTGTGCATAGCGTAGTCTGTTGTGCACGTAGATAGGAATAAGGGGCGATAATTTCTAGTTGGTCTAGCCGGAACAGAGAATTGAAGACGCCGTAGCAGAAAAGGGGAATCTATGTCGCCAATAATCAAGGTTTAGAAGAAGCAGTCTGCTTAAATTAAATGATGCCCATCAGTTGCCAAATTTTAAGTTCGAGACGTTCTCAATTTATATGCAGCTGTGCTCCTTTGAATCTTCTATTCCGCATTCCGTATTCCGCATTCCGTGTATCTCGTTTTCTATGTGTCACCATAAATTAAGGTTGAATAAGCGACGCTCTTAATCCGCTAAGTCGAGCAAAGGCCGGGCGTGGACACGGCCTGCACAGGGCTTGGACAGGGCCTGGACATTGCCATTGTAATCAGCACATTTTGCCCTCCACATAAGTCCAGACAACTCCGATAAGTCCTGCCACGTAAACACGCTGCAGTCGGAAACGGTCTGGCAACGCTTCGACCCGGTGCGCCGTGAAGCTAGAACCACATCAAGCGCAACCTGAAAGATGAAAATCCCTCGCTTCAAATGGATTTGCCCGAGCTCGCAAAGTGCCTTGGCGCCAAAGAAGATGGCGCAACTGGGCGTGAATGCTAAAACATGTCTTAGCCAGACCCCACGCTCAACCGCTCCACCGCTTTGCCATCAGAAGGATGCTTAAATTTGCCAAGCTGGAGAAATATGCGAAAATGTGTTGGCATTAACAGTACTTCGCTTAGGGGTGAATCGGATAAAGAACTCACTTCTACGGGGGTTGCACCAGATATCAACAGTAAAGGGAACTTTTACAGCTCTGATTATCCTTTCTGCTGAATTTACTCTATGCCATCACAACATATTTTAAATGAAATATGCTATAGTACTACTTGGATGTTGTGCTGTTAAGTCAAGTACTTTTTTAAAGAAAAGTATTTATGTGTTTCAATTATTAAGAAAGTGTGCTAAAAATATATAGAATATGTTATCTTTTGCTGATTTTACCTTGTCGCTCGTTACCTATAATATTTATTAACTCAATAATTAACTAGCTAAAAGGATTTCTAGAATAACTTAAAATAAAAACTAAAAACTGAATTTTATCGTAGTCAAATGCGCTGATTATGAAAGCTTTTACTACGCACAAAACCAGCTGTAATTTAAAATTTTGGAAATGGGAAATGTATTTACAGCGAAAAACAATGGCATTCCATGGTATGGAGGCGTACTTTTGGCCAACTGTTTGGGTTTCGGCCTGGTAGCTGAAATTTTATAATGCAGTCATGCATCAAATACTCACAGGATTTTATGATTATAGGCATGGGATTTTGGGTGCAAAAGTGGAGTCTGTGGCACAATTTATGGCATTCATATGCGCACACACACACAGACACACAGATATAAAGGGAACTTGGATATGCCACTAACGAGCTCATTTCACCCCATTTTTGTTTAGGTTTTTGAGACTAGATGCTGTTGCTCGCCATTCATGACTCCAGTTCATTCATTCTTCGCGTTCACTCGTTCTTACCCTAGCTCTGTCTCATTGCATTCAAAATATATGTGCTCCAAAACAGACGCAACACCCGCACTGGACTCTGGCAAAGGACTAACCACATGCATTGCCCAAGTTCATGTGGTGTGCGCTCGTGTTTTCCGTTTTCATTAGGGCCATGGCCCCGTGGCTTCGGGGCAGCGAGTGCTGCTACATTTGGGCATACTCGCATATTAGGTGTTGGCCATATCTGATTTCGGCCAAAAGCTATCATCAACTGCAGATGTACTGCAGCTAACTAGCAGCTAACCATAGCCACTGGATGGCATCTGCTGTCGGTCGATTGAACAGTTAACAGGAAATTGCTCAATCAACGCACAAATAACAGGCACAAATGCCGAATGCAAGCAATTGCAGGTAATAATCGAAGTTGCAAAGGTTGATTCAATTTGTTTCTACCTGTTTGACGTAATAAGTAGAAGAATTTAAATATTGGGCATCTTTTTATACCCTGAACCCATTAAAAATGGGTACAAGGGTATATTGTATTTGTGCGAAAGCCAAATGTATGTAACAGGCAGAAGGAAGCATCTCCGACCCCATAAATTATATATATTCTTGATCAGCATCAATAGTCGAGTCGATCTAGCTATGTCCGTCTGTCTGTCCGTCCGTCCGCCCGTCCGTCCGTCCGTATGCATGAACGCAAGGATCTCAGAACCTATAAGAGCTAGAGACTTAAAATTTTAGATGTAGGTGCTCCTAGTTCCCGCGCAGATCGAGTTTGTTTCCGATAATTGATAACTTACTCCGTTTCCAAGCAATCGATACAAATCGACATTCATATCCTGTTTATTGGGCAATTTTGGTAAATAATAAGAGCTAGAGTCACCAAACTTGACATATAGCTTCTAAAATATAATATATATGTGCATTTCATGTTGGAAGAAGAGGGTTCAGAGTATCCCCTAGTCGGGAGCTCGCGACTACAACCTCTTACTTGTTTGTATTCTTGGAATAGGGGTTTCTTTTGTATTTGTGCGAAAGCCAAATGTATGTAACAGGCAGAAGGAAGCATCTCCGACCCCATAAAGTATATATATTCTTGATTAGCACCAATAGCCGAGTCGATCTAGCCATGTCCGTCTGTCCGTCTGTCTGTTTCTATGCCAACTAGTCTCTCAGTTTTAAAGCTATCTTAATGAAATTTTGCAGAAGTCCGTCTTTCGGTTGCACGCAACACATATGTGAAAACCAGCTGGATCGGATTACTATATCATATAGCTGCCATAGGAACGATCGGTCGAAAATTAAGTTTTTGTATTAAAAGACATTTTGTTTATCAAGATATCTTGATCAAACTCGGCATTTTTTAGTTTTACTTTACTCCTCATATATACGCAAAATCCTATTAAGATCGGACCACTATATCATATAGCTGCCATAGGAACGATCGGTCGAAAATTAAGTTTTTGTATGAAAAAACATATTGTTTATCAAGATATCTTGACCAAACTCGGCATTTATTAGTTTTACTTTACTCCTCATATATATGCAAAATCCTATAATATCGGTCCACTACATCATATAGCTGCCATAGGAACGATCGGTCGAAAATTAAGTTTTTGTATGAAAATACATTTTGTTTATCAAGATGTCTTGACCAAACTCGGCAATTATTAGTTTTACTAAGCTCCTCATATATATGCAAAATCCTATTAGATCGGACCACTATATTATATAGTTGCCATAGGAACGATCGGTCGAAAATTAAGTTTTTGTATGAAAAAACATTTTCTTTATCAAGATATCTTGACCAAACTCGGCAATTATAAGTTTTAGTAAGCTCCTCATATATATGCAAAATCCTTTTAAGATCGGACCACTATATCATATAGGGACGATCGGTTGAAAATTAAGTTTTTGTATGAAAAAACATTTTGTTTGTCAAGATATCTTGAACAAACTCGGCATTTATTAGTTTTACTAAGCTCCTCATATATATGCAAATTCCTATTAAGATCGGACCACTATATCATATAGCTGCCATAGGAACGATCGGTCGAAAATTTAGTTTTTGTATGAAAAAACATTTTGTTTATCAAGATATCTTGACCAAACTCGGCATTAACTATTTTCCCGGTGCTTCTTAGATACGAGCAAAGCACTATAAGCATTATGAAAAGGTTGGGTCTGCAAGGGTATTAGATCTGCGGCGTGCCGAAGATAGCCTTTCTTTCTCGTTATGTTTGTGAATTTATGGCCATTCTATCTTTAAGGTTGCATAATTCATATTCTTATTTCACTTTGTTCCCCAAATGAGCCGCTGAAAATATGTTCTCTTTAAGTAGTTGCATTTATGCCTTATTAAATTTTATAAAATGTTTCGTGCTATATTGATTCATTTCACCATCTTCAATATTCTTTATATTTTTTAATAGCGCACTTAAGATACTTTAGCATTATCTGTTAGATACTTCTAGCTCAACTTAACCCACGAAAGTATGTTCCACGCAAAACGAACTTTTCGACTGAAATTGTTAAATTCTGAGCGCAGCAGTCGACGAAAATGAGCAATAAAATGGTTTTTAATTGGAATTCTAAACAAATCGCATTGCATGTGAATTTCAAATTGCCAAATGTTGCCGACAGCCGCACACCAACCGACCGACCAACCGAGAGTCTATAGGAATAATATAAACCAATTTCCTGCCGGGTTTTGTGGATGGACCGGCAGCCGCAGGCAGGCGCGGATGTAAAAGTTACGTCGCTTAATTTTGGCACTGAAATGTAAAGTTCGGGCGCCCAAAAGTTGCTTAAATGTGCGATGTGCGAATTCAAGTCGGAAGCATAAATTTCAATATGGGCAAAATGAGATGCAGCCGCCGCCGCGGTGGCCAAAAATGCAACGCGCAATTGAAAGAGAAACAATTTGAAGCGACCGCCATGGCCTGCGGTGCATTTTAACCCAATTTTTGGCCATGTACGCTGCTCGTCCAGCCACGTGCTTTTTAATTTAGCCCAAAGCGCTCCACATATCTAATTATAATTTCCGATGCGTCCTTCTGGCAGTTGCCGGTACCAACGAGGCGTCTGGTGCCTGATAATATTTCAATGCTATCTGGCAAGTCATCGCGTCACGTTTACAGGTTATTATCATCGGTGTTGAGCAGGGGACTGGTGGGCTGTCCGTCCCTTAAAAAAGCTGACTGCGTGTCAGTTGCGAGCATGTTACCCGAAATTAGGATCTCGGCGAGAGCGCAAATTCCATTTTTCCATGTCAGTTTTTGACACGTCAAAGAGTCGAGACTTTGCCCATGAGGAAAAATACTTGCTTCCTGAATGTTGCCATTAACTTTGCCGCGAATTTAGTTGCACATTTAGTTGAAGTAGTTTTCCACTTACCACCACAAAGTCGGCAGCACAAGCAAGCAAAAGTTGTAAGTGAAAAACTATCATATACCCTGTAGCTTTGCTGCCGGCACAACTTGGTTCTTAATCTCAGTTTTGTAAATAAACAATATTTATATTTAAAAAAAATTAATTTTCATCTTAATTAACTATTCAGGCATTGTTTACAATTTTAATCTAGTAACTAGTGTTAGCTGAGGAATTACACCAACCTTTTCCAAATCCATTTTGTATTACCTTTCAGAGTAATAAGATCTTAGCTATACTTTACTATACTATACTTTACTACTATATTATACTTTATAAGGTTGGAGCTGCTGACTTTTGGAAAGCAATTCTTTAATGCCCAAGCACTCTCTTTATACATTTTAATGGGCATCGGAAGGCTTGCCTACGAACTAGCGCAGATAATGTTGGGTTAGTTTTTGTTTTTTTTTTTGTGAATACGATGTGTACAGATATATATGTCTGTGTGTGTGTGTACAAAGTTTTGCAGCTACATGAAGCGGAAAAAGAAAATTTATGAGCAGTTGCTTGTTGCTAGAGTTGCCAGCCTTGCGCCAAGCATTATTCATTTAATATTTAATGCCTCAAATACAAATTGAATATCTGAACAGCCACATGCTGGAATTCAATAAAATTCAATATGTCATGATTCCCTGAAACATTTCGAATTGAAATATTTATCATTTATAGCATATATATATATATATTGAAAACTCATAATCTCTGAAAATGAGGGGTCTGAGCTCGATGTGCAAAATAAATCCGGAGAGCGCCGCCTGCAATCATTGGCAGCGCGAGGTGTGCGGCCGGTGTCCAGACTGGCAATTCGATGGCGATCACAAACAGGGCAGCACCGCCCACAAGCTAATGACAAACGATGAATGCCAGCGACTGAAGCGAGAACTACAGGCTTCGCTCTTCAGGGTCAACGGCGGCATAAATCCCATGACCTTGCTGCTGCTATTGTTTTTCATGGTCTTCTGCATGTGTATTATCGTCTGGCTTCTGGCAAAGGCGTTTGTGTTCAAAAAGCCGCCCAAACATCCAGCAAAGCGCATTGAAGTATGCCAGGATCGGCAGTCGGGCGGACAAGCCTCAGTGGACGACATCGTGCAACAGCTGCGCGAAAAGTGCAGCGCTTCAGCCAAGATGCTCAGCTCTGCGGCCGGCAAGACGGATGCGGAACTATATGTGCCGACAAGGTTTTGGGATACTTTTCCGATGAATGGCTTCGGTAAGAAATCTAAGAGCTTGGATCAACACACACAGGCTGAAACAAAGCTGGACATTGATAAAGAACTGGAAACTGAAGCATCGGATGAATCCAGCGATATTGAATCGAGCGAGAGTTTAGTAACTGATGTATTAAAAACCTCAGACGAGGCCATGTCCGATTCGTCCGAGGAGACAACAAGCTCAACTGGCGAGCAGCTGTCCGAGCGGAGCACAGCTGCTGAGGATCAGACCTCAATAACCATGGATATACAACAGGAAGCACGCAAATGCCATCCAGCCATTGGCAAAATGCCAACTTCTTATGGGCCAACGGCGACTACGAATCAATCGAATGCTCAAAGCCGCGGAAAAATACGCTGGGCAAATTGGCTCAGACGGGGCAAACGGGACGATTATCAAGTCTAGTCAAGTAGGCGTCCATTAATCTAGTTATTATTTTATATATGTAAATATTTATATAAATATTCGTTAAATACACGACAATGAATCCAATATGCAAGCAAAACATTAACAGCGCCGAGTGCCAACAGTGGATAAGCGAAGTCTTCGCCCACTGCAATCGGCTGTTGGTCGACAAACAGCTGGAGTTCTGGGATGATTGGTGGCTGCACGAGCCAACAGTGCCAGCCTATCAGGTGCCGCATCTAATGTCCGCCTATGACTGCCAGAAATTAAGGAAGCAGATCGAACGCGAGTTAACTTCCGCTGCCAGCTTGTCGCCCGAAATTCGCTTGCAATTGAATGACCTGAACTCCACCTGGCGTGTGGTTTTGTTTGTATTTGTCGTATGCTTGGCACTGTGCATCGTCGGCTCCATGGTCTGGCTGTTGAACAGCATGCTGCAACGCGCTGCGAATCCCAGGTTTAAGGATAACGAGCGTCAAGGTCGTGGCAGAAGAAAATGCAGAAATGCCACGCCTAGATCATTCATCTCCTTCAGCAAGCCCTGCCATCCTCAGGCATACCTCGGCCCCTATCGGACCAACAGAATTATAGTTCCGGGTGGCGCCTGCTGCGCAGCCACACGATAGCGCCACACACACACACACCCTTGACCATTGACAGCAGACACATCACAGGACGCGCTAACCAGCCGTGCGACCAAAATGGAACAAAAATGGAATCCCAATCAGAACCAAATCCAAAGAACGCAGCCAAAAATAACGACAATTAAAACAAAGTAGTAAAAAAAAAATAGCGGTTGTGCTCAATCTTGGGCAAGATTTATGAAATGTGTTCCGCACCGATTTTTTAACCCTCATTTTTGATTCTCCTCTTTTTTTTGTTGTGTTGTGTTTTGGCCCAGCAAACAAACAGGCGAACAGCAGCAGCAGTAAACTTGCGCATATAAATAACGCTCCCTGTCATGCACCATGGCACCATGGCATCAGTTGAGTGTTTTCTTGCCAGTCACATTTATATATATGTTATATGCATTTATATTTATAAAGTTTGATATTTTGTTATATATATTTTACTAATTAAATCACATATTTTGTCAACAAAGTATGTGTTACTTGGCCCACATAAGTGTGCAAATAACATTCAGAGTTCAAATAAATTGTTAATTTATGTTGCCTACTTTTCCGGGAAAACATTATGCGACGCATTTTGACCATGAATATGAGTTCTGCAAAATTTATATTGTAAATTGTATTTTTTTTAACAATTAATGACAACCTTGCCTGTAGTAGAATCTTTGTTGTGAATAATAATAATAATACTAATTTGAAAAGTTCCTAGTACAATAATTGATAAAAATATATAATGTATTGCTGATATTGCATGAAACTGTTACTTATATATGACAAACGGACGAGTGTTGCAAAATGATTCGATCTTAAAAATTGACAGTATGTCAAAGCTCTTTGAGACAGATGATTTACTCTTTGGCAAAGCTTAAATAAATGCGAATATTTGTAGCACAATAGAAATTCTGTGCATATTAATTTAAAACCAGTCCCATTGTAAATGCGCTTGATGATAAATATGTTCGACCCAGAGATTAAAAAAAAAAATGCACAACAAACCAAGCGTGCTAGCTATATGGCATCGTATCAAAAATTTGGCAGGCATTGGGCTATTAAACCGCTTCTAAACTCGAATGCAAGCAATGCTCGCAAATGCAGTGAAAAAGCTGAAACTAAATTGTTGATCGTAAATGGAAATCAATTGAATGCGATTGGGTTTATATTCAAATAAGATGCTAGCAAACAATTTTTATAAATACTTTTGATATTTATGCTTATGATTAAATGATTGCGCGACTGCAACACGGTTACAATTTATGAATTTTCTTTTGCATACACTGTGCACAAAGCGAAGAGAGGGTATGTATATGAGATAAGAAAATAATAACAACATAAAAAATAAAGTTTGGACAAAAATACTCTGGCATAAGCATGGTCTATCTATATTCCCTATACTCCTTGGACTTATTAAAAGAGCCATTAAAAATAGGTATAAGGGTATATTGTATTTGTGCAAAATCCAAATGTATGTAACAGACAGAAGGAAGCATCTCCGACCCCATATTCTTGATCAGCACCAATACCCGAGTCGATCTAGCCATGTCCGTCTGTCTCTCCGTCCGTCCGTATGTATGAACGCAAGAATCTCATAGCCTATAAGAGCTAGAGACTTGAAATTTTAGATGAAGGTGCTCCTAGTGCCTGCGCAGATCGAGTTTGTTTCCGATAATCGATAACTTTCTCCGTCTCCAAGCAATCGATATCGATAAAGCGATATCGATATCCTGTTTTTTTGGGAAATTTTGATAAATAATAAGAGCTAGAGTCACCAAACTTGAAATATAGCTTCTAAAATAGAATATGTATATGCTCCCGACTAGAACCTCTTACTTGTTGGAATTGTTCAACAGAGAATCACGAAGTCGTTGACATTTGCCAGCAACCTTCGCACTTGTTTCGCATTTGTTTTATTTAACGAATTTATTTTTAGTATCTGCGGCGTCCCAACGGCATCCCCGACACTTAAATCACAGTCGCAACTGTAGCAAAATTGAAAACTTTTGTTATATTCCTATTCCCATATATATATATATATATATATATATATATATGTGTATGTAACGTGGGATGTATATTTGTTTATACTTTTAATTCATTGGACAGTGCAGCTGCCGCAATTGCAGACCCATATCCCAGGCCCGGACAGAGCGGGTCACAGCGTGACTTTGATTTATTTGTTGGTTTTCATGCCCAAATGGAATTAAAAGTTTAACATACTATGCCGCGTTTGTGCTTTAACAGGAAATAAAAAATAAAAATAAAAAAAGCATTTAATGTAATTGACAAATTGATTTCACTTTAAATGTCAAGCTTTATTAACAATTGCCATTCGGATTATGATAAAAATAGTCATCATAAATAACGCGAACGCCGCCGCAAACGAGTTTGTTTATTATAATGAGTTTATTCTTTACTTATCACATTAAAAGATAACAAGACAAATTTGCCTGATATTAAGGAAAATGGAAAAATGTATATTATTTTTGTTTTTTAACAGACAAAAATACAATTTTATTTACCTTTTAAACTTTTCAAAGCAACTTATGAAAAAATTAACGTTAAAACGAAAAACACTATTGGACCTATTTTATGATTTTAATTGAACAACTTAATAATTCAGATATAATAGTATCCATTGCGAAAACTGTCAACCGAGTTGTCGGAAAAAAGGTTTTAATTAATTTTAATTTAACTATAATAAACGAATTTCTGATGAATTGTGCTGTCAGCTAATGAGTTGTTCGCTTTGTACATCAAAATAATTCCCATATCAATATTTCATATTTTCATATTTGGAACGCATAAAACTAAGTTTAAGGTATATCTGAATGTGTAAAAGGACGATGTTTATTGAAAAATGTGGCTGTTTAGCACTAGCTCAAATTTGGAGACCAGCTTTAGTTGCAAGCAATTTGTACAAACAAAAAGAGTCGACAGTTTGTAGGCAGAGTTTGGAAAGAAGAGAACTGGAGGGCTAATGCTGCAGGCATATATGGTTGACTTTTGTGCAGTTTTACAAGATTTGACTCGTGATTGTGGCCGGCACTCATTAAGCCAACATGCCTGAGCAATGTTTGCCACCCCGAAAATCCCCCTGGAGCATTGGCCAGTTGCCTGCCCGATTGCCAGCTACCAACTCTTGCACAAAATGAAAAGAAGGCAGCGGGTGGGCGGCAGGGTTTTATGTGTGCAGCATGTTGACGTGAATTTTTATACTTGAGCTGATTTATTTTGCTGCCTTCGCCCTGGGCTCTGGCCATTGTACCTGCCCCTGCTCCTGCTGCTGCCGGAGCTCACATTTCAAGTGCTCAAACAAAGCACAAGCAAAGCTGAAAAGCAGTATGGAAAATATTAATAATCCGAGTTGTCGTCAGGCAGTCTTGTTGTTGCCCATTGAATTTATTACAGTTCTCATATTATTTATGCGTGCGCAAATCGACTTCCGTTACCAGAGCAATGGGCCCCCAGTTCATATCTTTTTTAATGCGAAAATCCAGCAAGGTCGCCTGCCTACAAAATTATGCATATTAATACTTTGTACACCTGCACATTAACAATCTGGCAGTGCAATGATTACGGGTAAACACATATTTTACATTGCGATAAATTATTCAATACACGTTATTTTCCACGCACTTCTCAACCATCGATTCATCCAAATATGTCACCGTCATGCAAATCCATGAGTCTGTAGAAGTTACCACACATTCAAATACTCAACTCTTAGAGCATCATCATCAGCATCATCATAACCATAATAAGCAACAGCTGGACTGAGCTGAGCTGAGCTGTTGGGGCTGCTCGTTGTGATGGATGTTGATTTCATTGAATTTGAATTTCATCGCATGCACAAAATCTTCTTCTGATCGCTCACGCATTTTCGATTCATATATCTCAGTCAAATATGTGCTGTACTCCAATAGAAGCAAAAATATCTTCTAGTATGTCGGAGTTTCGTTAATAAATTGAATCTCCTTTGCACAACATCAATTTCAATACTAAAACCAAATAATTCTTTATTCAATTAAAACAAAAATAAGAACATTTGGTTGCGGGGGAACACTTTGACTTTAGACCAAAAAGTAACATAAGCCATCGATTTTTTGGGTATTTCCAAGCACATTTTACAGCGTTTTGTAAATAATTTATTAAGTAAAAGGATCATAAGAATTTCCCTTTGCTTTTAACATAAACAACAAAATTGATAAAAATATACAAAAACTTCAAACTGCTGCTAGATTTGAAACGGCAACCTCTCAATCCTATGTTCGAAGCTTAAATACCTTATGTTTCTCATATTTTAATACACTTTTAACATATTTTTGTTAATAATTTAGTTTTTAATTCTGAAATATTTTTATATTTTCGTCTCTTACCAAAAGCAAACAAATGCGAACATATACATAGAAATAAGTGTTTGAATGAATGGAAAATGAAATCATCCGATTAAACTATGCTACAATGTTTTTAAATAGCATTTAAGCAAATTTATGCGCGTTTTTATCATCATTTATAAGCTAATATTTATGGGCAATTAATAGAAAAAAAAACTGAAGTTTTTAATGGCAATTAAGAGGCTTTTGTTCGAACCTTTAACCTCAATTAGGATAAAATAAAAGAGCTGCGAATCGTTTCCATAATGTGAAAATCAGCTTTCACAGGAAATTAGCCAGTCAAACGACACAAACTTTGACAGACAGGCCAGACGCAGACATGACTTTGCCCTGCGGTGCTCTAAGAACACACTTACATGTGTGCTTACACCCTAACACATGTACATATATACGTCTACACACACACATATATATATATATATATATATATCTATATATATATGCTTATATGGGGAGTGCATAAAAGTTTTCAAACGTTTCTTGTAAAGAGTGCGGGAAACCGCTCTTAAAATGTCACAGGGGCCAAAAAACTTTGGCGGCCACAGAAGCATGAAAAAGCCAAGGAAATTCAAACAAAAGTGCAAAAACTTTTCAGAGAATGACAGT